TTGCGCACGACGTCACAACGTGCGGCATTTTTAAGCAAGCGTTGACGTCACGGGCCTCTTCTTATGAACTTTGGGGCGCTTTATCTCTTTAAATTTTCATTAGTTTGAAAAAGTGAAAAATACGTGTAGAGTATTTTTTGATAAGTTAACTGACGGACTAATTAAAACTCTTGCTTTTTGACCCAGGCAACATCCCCATTGGCTGCTACACATTCTATGATTACTAACACCCATTAATCTCTTGTGGTAAGCTTTACACACTCATGAAAGGCTGGGTAGTTTATACATATATTTATTAACTTTTGAATGCAAGTGAGCTGTTAGCTGTTAGTTTCTCACCTGCTCTGGACTGAAATCCTTTAGAGGCACTCTTGCCTTCTTCTTCTTGTCCTTCCTTTTTGTCATTGCACACAACGGCAACTGTAACGATAAAATTATTTTATAATGACATGGTTTTACACACATTAAACAAGACAAAGCAAGAAACTGCCAATTTTTGTTAAATATAAAGACAACACTGTTACCAAACTATGTATGTAGATATGATTTAACATATCATTGACTACAAAGTGAAAAAATTAAAAAGTTTAAAATCTCTTTGTAATGTGTGCCAATACACTTCTAGTATTGATCATGAATCTTTACCATCCCAAATTATTAAAAACAACACTTACATCCGGTACACTATTTGGTATAACCGCAACCAGCTTGCACTTATGAAGGTTCAGCCGATTGATGCTCTCCACGACTCGGAGCGGGTCCAATTTCTCAGATACTCGGATGAATGCGGTCTTAACGCCCCCCTTCCCGTGTTGAAAGTTCAGCGCCTCGAAGTGGCCCTTGACTACCTTCGAGACAGTGCCCACCAAGCGATCCAGTTTCCACTAAAAGTAATGAAGTACCCGTGAATTGAGATACAAATTAAATCAACTGTTACCGAGGTCTCATGCAACTAATTAGGGTTCCACAAGTTATTTTATGGAAAATGATACCATATTATTCTAAGTTTATCTTATATTTTTTGATGCTAACAATTCCAAGCCTTCTCCTTGCAACTGTTCTTAGTTATTATTGCAAAAAGAATTAGATGAAATAATTATTTTTTATTAAAAACCCAGAGGAATAATCAATCAATGTCAATCAATCAATCAAAGTAAAAGATCTTTAAATCAAGCATTTCCATTAGACACTGCTGTCTTCATTAGACAATATGAATTGATATTTCAACTAAATTCTGGATTTCCAGGGTAGATTCAATGCACAGGCAGAATTAGATAGGTACATACAGTAGAATCCCGATTATCCGGACTTCGATTATGCGGACATCCGATTATCCAGACTCACTCTTCACGGCTCTTATTACCGATTTAGGGCCTGGACCCATCAATACGGCTGGACACATCATGGCGGCACCTGTGATACAGCTTGGCGTCGACACCGTAATACTGTACGGACGTCGTCTTGATTCATTGTTAAAAGAAATGGATTCACCCAATGGTCTTCAATGATGTTTGTGAAACCCTTTCGATAGTAAAAAGTTAATTATTATTTGATTTTACTTTGAAATCGATTATCCGGAATACCCCTAGTTTTAATTGATCCGGATAATCGGGATTCTACTGTACCTAATTTCTAGCTCTGATCAACAGCACTGTCTAAATACTCTTTTAAACTCAGGTAATGGAGATAATGGATTCACTGAAAGTATTGATTTTAGGCAGAAACAGTTATGGAATGTTAATGGACGATTTGAAGGTACAATCAGGCAAAAAGGCGATTCGACCGTCAGCAAAAGACCGAAATAGGTACCTACCTAATGCCTGCCACTGAAATTCACCGAAATAATGGACATGGATGGATGACTGCCATGATGTTGCCATGGCCAACCATGTACAAGGAATCGTGGAAAGCCGGTGAAGTTCGTAAAATCAATATGAAACTATCGATCGAAAGGAAAAGTAGGTACCTAGTGTACCTACAATAAAGGTTTAAGGTGCTGCTGGCACTCTATTACTGGCACGTATAGTATTAAACAGTAGTTATGGACTAACAGAAACGAGGACTAAGTTATTTATTTCACAGCACACTTTGTTAGCAATAACAATGAAAAAGGAAATACATAAATAATAAATTGATGTTGAAACTTACATACGCAGGTACTCCATGGATGGCTACGACAGACATGACATTCAATATTTCTAGAAGGGGGTATTTCTAATATAATTAATTTATGTATGTTTATAGCAAGAAACGTGGGAAATATTATAAAAAAAACTGAAAAAACGCAGCCGAAACCGACCGAGCCCCACACACGCACACAGGGAGGATGACATTTTTTTTTTTTGCCCACACCACGTTTTTGGCCTGGAAGTTTCCCCATTGGCCAAATTTTTTTTTTTTGTATTGTGTTTTACGGCTCTGGGTGCAAGCCCTTTGGAAGAATACTGACAATATCCCCAAACCACATAACGCATTCTCAAAATTTGAATGCAGTTTAGGTACAATACCTTTCTTTTCGAAAATAAAAAAATATTTTCTTTGAGAAATTTTTTCTAACTACAGTGTAAGAGTACTTTCCCTTCAGGTTACATTACAAAATCGCACCCTGTATAGTTAAATAAAACAATAAAAAATACTTTATAATTTTTGTATTTAATATCACATAATCAAAGCTTACAATAATTGAAAACATAATGAAAAAGAATTACAATGTCAATGTTTTGTAAATACTATTATTTTCTTACACTAGGTAATAAAAGCACCAATACCTACCAAATAGGGTATTATATTTTTCTTAAATTAAATAAATATCTATAATATTAATAAAGGCACATTAGACATAATTAAGAACTAAGTTTCTGTCGCATTTAAAATATAACAGATTACAAAAGTAATGATGAATAGAAATAACACAAAATATTAGGGTAAAAATATAAAATGATGCATAATTTAAATGGAAATAATCAATCAGTCAATAAAAAATCAGTCAATACTTGCGTATGAGAGGTTCAATCTCTGATAATTTTCTACATGAATCATCAGCCCAAGGGATAAAGGCATCCTTACAGGCGATCACACATTCCAAAAGCATACAGCAATCACCTTCTGCTCTATGATGAGAATGTTGTTCCTTATTCAACAGTCTTTGGTAAAGAGAACTCAATGAGTAATTATATGTTTTACCATTATTAGTCTTACTAAAAACTTTATCTATGACTTTACTCCTGTTTGGCTTTTTCACTCCATATTGAGTCTTTTTCTTAACTTCAGTTATATCTTCACATGAAATATCAGACAAGCTGTCACATATTTCATCAATATCTTTCCATTCTTCAGTGCTTACATTCAGTTGGGGCCATTCATCTTCATCATCTGTTAACAAATCTAAACCTAGCTCAATTGGCGGAGGTTTAGGCACTAGTGCTTTAGTCACCTTCTCCATTGCCAGAATCTTCCGAAAACCTGTCAAGGAGTCTACACACAATAAATCGTCTGGCAAAAACATATTTGCATCACAGAATTCAGTCAGAAGTATTTTAAAATCAAAACGATTCCCATTGTGTGCAACCAGACATACAGGTTTTGTAAGTTGCTTCAAGAATGTGACTATTGTACCAGTTTTCTGTTTAAATACTGGAGCATGCTGGAGTAAATCATTGGACAGGCCATTCAATTTTACTGCTTCAACATGAATGGGACGCTCAGGATTGAAAACTAAGGTAAGCTTACTGACCGGCGGCAAAGTACCATGTGGTGTAGCAATAATATCTTTCTGTGAGGCTACAACGAAACTTAGTTCAGTTATTTTCGTTTGATTCTTCTCTTGATAAGGTAGCCCTGTCGTTTCTATATCGAAGAACACGTAACTCTCAATCTTAGCCATTGCTGAGCCTGCACAGGAAATATTAGTCATTGATATAATTAATTACATTATTAAAATGAGTATTAATGACTTAGACGTTCTAGCTAAAAAAAAGCCCACAGACCGGCCGGCACAGTACTTACTTTACGTCTGTAATAATATTTTCACTGAGTTCTCGAGTACGACTTCACAATATTTATCTTTTATTAAGCTTTGGGCATATTCTAATCTGATTATCTTATTACGTAGGTATGTCCAATTCTTTAAAAATCCTCAAAATCTTTGAACTTAACAAAATTATCATTCCCTTGACATTTTNTTTTTTTAAATTATCTAACATCTCACTAATAAAATATGCGAATAAAATGTACGGAATCTAGCACCCGAGTATACATACTCACACTTGAAATATTTACTAACTATTTTAAGTACCTATAAAATTATAATATTAAGTTTTCAATTTATAATCTCAATGTAAACGCTTTGTAGTAGATTGATGTGTAGAATAAATGCTGATTTTTTACTTTTAAAGTAAATTTTAGTCTCAAACTGACTCTTATTCGTGCGGTCGACACGGCTCAAAAATATTGTGATTATTGGCGCATAATGCCTAATATCGGAAATAAAGTCTTAGGGCCTCTTTCACAATCTCCGAGTAGAGTAAATATTATTTACTTCCTACCCTACAAAGTGATAAGTATTTTATCGTCAACGTCTTCCCAGTGTCTTGTTTCGTTGTTACTCGTGCTGTTTTAATCTTTGCTCGTGACTTTAAGCAACGTGTAGCCTAGGTACTTGTACTTGTTTGACAATTTACTCAGAGATGGTGAACGAGGCCCATAATGTAACATCATCCTAGAAATTCTGATAAAAATAATATTAATAAGTAAATGTGATAAATGTAAGTAGGTAGTATTCTAGTAGTGGCAATGTCTAGAATAATATTTTATGATTCTGTACCCTATCCACGTAAAAGTACCACTATTTGCCACACACCAACACTTGATCAACATTTAAATACTAACGGAAATTAAGAATACGGCAACCATAGATGGTAGAGACGTGTCAATCAAAGTTGGCTGCTATAGATGACCCAAGCTGAACTGTCCCACCAAACTCAATGACAGGGGGGCGCTACCATCTTTCAACTATATGGTTTCCAACATGGCAAAAATCGGAACCAGCGATCCGGTATTGAAGGTGGCGCCCCACTGTCAATGTCATCGATAGGACAGTTCACTATTTTGGAACTATATCTATTGCATTAGCAATTTGGCACATAGGTAGTGGACATACAATGGGACATTTGAAAAAAAAAACTGTCTGTATGGTAATGCTTTCACATTGTTAAATTTTTTTTAATAAAAAAAAGTCCTAAAACGTGATAATGAATGTAGTTTTTCTATGCATAGGTAACAAAAAAAGATGCTTAAATGGTCAACTAGTGGTACTTTCACCCTAATACTAGTAATCTTTTAGAAATAAGCTATGTGTCTATTAATCAAGTTGGTTTTATTGCAACCACCATGACTATTTTGTGATGACTATCTGAGTATCATACATAGGTACCTAAGTACCTTAATACCCATTACTTCCGGTCTAAGGTACTACTAACTTCTTGCTCTCTGTGGTAGGTGTCCAGTACGTTATGGCCTCATGTTTTTTTATTTGCTTTGCTTTGTATTGTTTTTATATTTTATACTTATTCTTTATATTCTTAGGTAGGTACCTACTTTATCTAAAACAACAACTCAAACAAAGTTAAAGTTAATCGTTGGTAGCCGGCCTTAAGTGGCGCTATAAATACAGGGTGAGCTGGTTTGTGGCTGCGCTGTCAAGTTTTTTTCTCTTTATAACTCTATCTATAATTAAGTACTAATAAATTATTTTAAAATAATACATACCTAATTTTACGTAGGTACCTACCTCCTACCTACCTAGGCACTCAGTACTCACTCAATGTTGTTTTCGAAAAGTATTTTTCAAGAGTTTTTCTTGCATTTTTTTAAATTAGACAGATTTTTATGTACCTACTTATAAGCATATTTACTTAGATATACTTACTTATTCTGTGGATATACCTACTTTTTACATTGTATTGTTTTAATAATAAATGTATGTATTGAACAAGTTTTATGTTTATTACCCTCTTTTCTGCTAAGAGTAGGCGCACACCGCGGCACCGTTGATTTTTAGTTGGCCGATAGTTGTGCCCGATTTTAAATTGTATGAAGAATCGGCCAAATCGAATCGGCGTAGTGTGCGCACTCCCATACTGATCAACTGCCCGACTAAACTATCGGCCGACGAAAAATCAACGGTGTGCGCCTACTCTAAATGAAAAGCGATGGTCTAGCTAGTGTAAGCTTAGGATGTAAGTTAATTAATTTATATCTAACTTAATTAATAAACTTAATCATTCATTAAAGTTTTGGGTCATTTAAACTTGGCTTAATACTTTTTCCGAAAGAATCAAATCGGAATTTCTTGGGGGAAAAGTGAAGCGTCATGTTAGCAGTTTTATTTTGTAAAATTCGCGTTTATACGACTATTAATGTGTAACAATAGTGGATTATTGACCATTAATTAGTGTTCGTGAACGTGCATGAGTGTGTAAGTAAGTAAGTAAGTAAGTTCTTTATTGTGTATAGAAACAAGGTTACAGAAAGATCTTAAATTAATTACAGAGTATCACTTGATCCTACCCTTTCAGGCGTATACACATTTTTAATTTTTATATCTAAACATATTTATTTATAATCTAGGTATTCTTGTACACTATAAAAACATTTTTAGTTAACCATTCTTTAATAACATTTCTAAATTTTGAGAATTTTAGTTCTTTAAAATCGTCTGGTAGTTTATTATATATTTTTATACACATAATAAAAGCATTCCTTGATGCTAGTGTTAATTTTGTCTGAGGCCTTACTAGTTTATTTCTGTATACAGAGCGTAGGTTTCGATTTGAAATTTGAAATTTCTGAATAAACAAGTCTTGATTTTGTTGGACAAATAAACAACAGTCAAAAATGTAAAGGCAAGGTAAAGTTAACAGATTATATTTTCTAAAAAAGGGACGACAGGAGTCTATTTGTTGTAGTCCAAAAATAGCTCGAATACATTTCTTTTGCATAATAAATGCCTTATCCCTATGTACAGAGTTTCCCCAGATTAAAGCTCCATAGCGCAAAGATGAATTTACATAGCCATTGTAAGCAGTGATAGCAGCCTCTTGAGATACAATTTGACTAATACGTCTAAGAGCGAAAACAAACCTATTCAGCTTTGAACAGATTTCAAATATATGTTGCTTCCAATCACAATGACTGTCCAAAGTTATTCCTAAAAATTTTGTATGTTGAACAGCGTTAATTACCTGTCCCTTAAAATTTATGTTAAGTTTCGGTTGTATTTTTTTATGTGTACCAAATTGTATGTATTTTGTTTTATCTATGTTTACTTTTAAATTGTTTCTATTAAGCCACTCAATAACCTTACATAATGCCATGTTTATATCACTTTCATGACATAAATAATTTTTATCTTTATCACCTTTGATAACAACAGTGGTATCATCTGCAAACAAGATACATTCATGTGGTATACTTCTGGGTAGATCATTAATATACAGAAGGAACAAAAGCGGTCCCAAGATACTACCCTGAGGCACTCCAAATTTATTAACTTCACATGATGATACATAGTTCTCTAAACATCTACTTTTAGGACAATACTTCTGAGTTACCACACATTGTTCTCTCTGTGACAAATAGCTTTCGATCCATGTGTAGCATGGTCCGCGAATACCATATTTATAAAGTTTCGAAAGAAGTACTTTGTGGCATACAAAATCGAAAGCTTTTGTCATATCGAGGAACAGAACTGACACTGGAATACCATCATTAACACAATTTGTTATAGATCGAAACATTATTCAATGAAAATATTGTCCGAACCCTTAGTATTTCTCTTCGACAAATACTTTAACACATTGTGAACCACTTTTCTTTCACGACTATAAAAATATTTTAGCAATTTAATTCATAAAACCAATTGCGCACATTTAAAATAAAGTTTGTTTACACTTTGACAGCAATAGACTGACATGCAAGGTGACATGTCAATGAAGTTTTCAGTTACTGTTGCCATTAAAAGAAATTAGTACCATTAGTTTTCCGCAACATGGCGAGGGTTTTTATGTTCCTGAGGCCCAATTACGGTAACTTTTATAACGTCTACAATCCAGACGCGTTTCTGATTCTGCGATACGATTGGTCAAAACAGCTGACGTACGCTGTTGAACGACCAATCGTATCGCAGAATCGAGAAGCGTGTCTGGATTGTTGACGTTAAAAATTACCGTAATCGGGGCTCTGGTCAGGCTATAACTCGTCTCACTCGATAGTTGAAAATGGCACAAATCAAGTCGGCCTCAACGTGTATTATTGCCAACATAAAAAAAAGAAGAAATAAAATGTCAATATTATTGAATTATTGTCAATGGTTTTTTTGGCGGGAAGCTCTCGAGGCGGGAGGTTCAACTTTTTCTTTGCGAGTTCAATAAAATTCAATTAAATAGTTAATCTAGCAGCAAATTAGTGGCTGTAGTGGCGAGATGAGTTCTGACAGTGGGGGTAACGACCCCAAACATAATACTAAGAAAAGAAAAGTAGTTGAAGTACAAGATGATGAGTCCATACATGCACCATACTACAAGAAGAACCATATACGCTGTTATCCTGATAATTCTCCAGGTTGTGTATTTCCTGTATACATACAAAGCACAAATGACACTGTAAAGTTTGGAAACAAGGACCCTATCTACCTGAATAGCATTTTTAGTCGGTACAACAAGGGAGTCAAAGAAATAAANCTTCCCGTTCAACTACCCTCCACGGAATCATCGTCAATATTATTGTCAATGGTCGTGTCATTTTGACATTTAGCACAATTTAGCATTAGCGTAAAAAAACTTGCGCGGTTGTTTGTTGGGTAGTTTCGTGATAAAAATAATTATTATTTAATTCCCAAAATTTTTGATTGCGTATAGCCTTTACTAATTAAAATGCCTTTTGTGTTCGTCACAGGATTTCCTAGGGAGGTAAATTAAAATACAGAATTTTGATTTAAGTTTGAATCATGTACGCTGCAGTGATTTTTACCCATAGGTTTACCTACCATAATCTAAGAGTTTACTACCTATTGTTATATTTTTGCATCAAATTTCATTCGATTAAATTGATACATTGAAATTTAATTTATTCGGAATACCATTTATTCGGAATACCAACAGTAACAAAATGTAACTAAATTTTTTCCCATAAAAGCATCCTACCTGAACTATTGATAATGCTTTATCACATCCACAGACAAAACTAGTTCCAAACTTCAGAAAATACTTCCGATCAGCACGCCTACCGCGTTACTGGATAACCAAAGTGATTGACAATCCGACCGAGCAAGCAGCTCTGATTGATTTCCAATCTTTCGGGGACGCTCTTAAGGCCGAGCAATATATCAACTCTGTGCCTTTCGTAAAAAGTACTACCTGCTATAACTTAACGGCTAGAATAACTAATTCTGAAGATGATACGTTCAGCTCGAGTAATCAATACGATGGACAATATGAGTACAGAAGAAGCCGTTCACGCGAACACAGCCTTGAAAGCTACGGTTATAGCCGTTCAAGTGATCGGGACAGGTCACGAAGTCCGTTTGAAGATCCGTCAAAACTTGACGTGAGAATTTTTTATATTTTTGTGTGTGCAGAGTTATCTTTTTTTACTACAGTTGTTAAAGAATTTCCTAATCAATAAAATAATAATTTATTTAATTTAAATCCTATTTTCAGTTGGAACTGGAACTTATAAGGAAGAAGAGACTTTTGATTGAAGAAGAAAGAAGATTGTTGTTGGAAAAACAGAAGTTGCAGATGATGAAGGTTTGTTGAAATAGAACCAGTTAAATAAGTATGGTAATGGTTTAGTTTTATGAGTAGTTAATCCTTTCATAAATAGCATGAATTTTTATTTTGTTAAAAGACTAGACTGTACACAAGGGTTCAGCAATATTCAACATTCTTAACAAAGAACAATTTGAGAATCAAATTACCTATATAGGAAATGTTTCTACCACATATCTTATCCACATTGCATATAATTTTATCCAATGTTCAGTGTTGTCAAAATACAAATTACGTAGGTAGTTGATACCAAAAACTGATTTGAATACCTGTAATGAGCTTTCAAAAAGGGAATCTTCCATTTCATGACTTATTTTGTTTTCTATATTCGGGGTCCTGTAGTCTGGAATCTGGATACTTAAATGTCCTGATGATGATGACACTTATTTATAAACTACACGTCATTTTCGGTGAAACAAACTATTACGTAACATTCTATTATGAAATTGTGCCTTTGAAGTTAGTTAGGGCGGTTTCAGACTAGCCTTTTATACGTGCACGTATAAGTTCGTATTTGGAAGCGCATGTAAATAGACGCGTATGGTTGTCACGCGCAAAACTCGCGTTGACGTGCTTGTAAGCTCGTATAAATAAGCGCGAGCCGCGGTAGACACCACTACTGGTTCGAGCGAACACGCCCGAACGAAAATATGCCCATGCGTGATACGCGAGTCCCGATGTTTTAAGCGTTTATAAGCGCGTACGACCGTATACGCAGCGCAGAAAAAAACGCTAGTCTGAAACCGCCCTTAGCAAATGGTGTCAACTACTCAATTAAGAATGTTCACTAATTTTGTTTTTTAGCTTTCTGTATTCTCTGTTAAAAATAAAAAATACACGTGAAAGAATTATTTCGATACGTCAATTAGTTTCCAAGATATTGAATTTTAAAAGTGCGGGCGGCGGCCGGCCCTCCATTTTATGCGCGTGACGTCATATTACAACGACTGGCTCATATTTGTATGGGTGGAATCTTGCAAACTGAATTAAGACCCACTTCCAGGCAACCGATTTAGCTGAAATTTCGCAAACACATGTGATTTGGATGACCATGCAATATTATGATGACATGGAGCTGATCTGATGATGGAGCTGGAAGGTGGCCATAGGAACTCTATAATAAAACGACTTAAATGCATCGAGTTTGGGCTCGTTCGTTTTGTATTGATGAGTATTTTAATTCTATATAGTAATCGGGGTCTAATGATGGAGCTGGAAGGTAATTCGCAATAAAACGACACAATCGCATCAAGTTTGGGTTTGGTTCAATTTTAATTTCTGTGATGGGTCTGGGTGTTAATATGTATAATAAGTTTGTATTTACAAAAAAAAAATATTTAAGTATGTTTATATCCGTTTTCTAGTGAGCGGACGCTGTGAATGTACGTCACACGGGGTCACGTGACCGTCGGCGGGACTCAATATTTAAGCGAACTTTGAATGCCTATAAAATCATAACTACTGGGTATTTTTGAATGAAATAAAAACTAATGTATTTGTAAATGTAAAAGCTTAACTGTAACATAGGTTTCAAGTGATTTTGCATACCTAGTAACATTCTCAATTGCCTATTTTCAGACAACAGGAATGAAATGGCCATGTTTGGTCGTGAGCGAATGTTGCCTCGGGACCTTTATTTTATTTTGGTGAATTTCGCAGGAGTATGGGGCTAATGCTTGCGAAGAGTTGGATGTGAAACCAAAAATAGAATTTGGAGCTGGAAAATCGACATTGTTCAATTCCCACATAGAAATGGAGAGAGACCAGAGGAATCGGGACATGTTGCTCCGCCCGCACTGGACTGGGAAGCCCGAGCCGAGGAGCCGGGCGCCCCGGTTCTCCGCGGAGCAGAGACCCTTGGACCACATCCCTCAGTTCATTCTCCCAGTCAAAATAATCTTGAAATCGATGAAAACTGCCATCAAAAATGAAGCTCCAGATCTGCACGAGAGAAATATCCTGACTAAAATGATCGGCGGCAACTTACGCCGAAGATTTGCGATCGTTCTTGAAAACAGGCCGTATACACCGTCAGACAAGATAGTGCAGTTGTACAGGCAGCAGTACCCTATGTCTACAGACAGGGAGTTGATAAAGAAAACGTATCAGGACGTCAAGGCGTGCCACTGGCCAAAAAGGCAAAAGTCTCAGAAGACTCTTGATAAAATCGCTAGAAGGAAATTCGAGAAAATGCAAGCAAAGCAAATTGTCGACGGTGTCGATTCCGATACGCCAGGTATAAGATAAACACTTCATCCTCACACTAATCCGTTAGCGCGTTCGCGCCGAGGATTAGTTTGTGGTAATAAGTTTAAAATCTATTTCATGATGGCAAACGAGTTGAACTCGAAATGCTATCCAATTGGAAAGTAAAAAAAATCGACAAATGTTCTTTTGACCGAACAATCGCCTCAAAACTGTGAGCATTCATTTGCTCATAGTAAAAATTGGGGTCAACTTAAAATTATTAAAAAGTCAAAAGATTACATTTAGAAGATTACTAACAAGATCTGCTGTTGGGAACAATGAACTACTTCAAAGACCAATCTCAGATTTCGTATGCTGCAACAGCATACTAGATCTAGCAGCAAAAAGGTCTTAATATGAAGTTAAAAAATCTTTGTGGCCAATATTATCTTCATAAGCAGTTTTTTTATGTTCACCGATTTCTGTCAATTATAGTGGATTGATAAAAAAAAATATTCAATAATATTTTTTGATAGACCATCACACCTAAAAGTAAAAAACGTGCACCTTTTTAAATATTTCTCTGTATAGGTACATCAACCGATGCAGCAGCTGTCGACGTGAAACCTGACCCAGACTTGGTAGTGAAAGAAGAGAAACCCATTGAGGACCCCGTACTCCGCCTTGATGGGTGGGGCGGTGTAAATGATGACTTTGACAAGAATGGAACAGAGTGGATCAATGATGGTGAAGGAAGCTTGGTGAGTTAAAAGCGTTTACNGAACGGTTTATTACTTTAATGCTGTGTAGATCCAAAAAAGAAAGAAATTTCAAACTTGCTAGTTATTTCAAGGTGGGATTGAAATAAAAAATATTACACTAAAATGGAATGAAGAACTCTATTTCTGAGTATATGCCCGAGTTGTGCCATCTTACGGCCGGTTCACACGTGTCTCCGTTTTACTGTTCCGTTTTATCGTGTACGTTTTTTTTTCGTCGATGTGTTTTATTGATTTGTTTCGTCGTCGATTATGTGTCATGTGTGAAGTCGCTCATACAAACTAAATACGCCATCGACGAAAAAAAACGTACACGATAAAACGGAACAGTAAAACGGAGACATGTGTGAACCGGCCGTATGTATTACTGTATACAGAATACTGTGTCATGTGTGAAGTCGCTCATACAACTACATACGCCATCGACGAAAAAATACGTACACGATAAAACGGAACAGTAAAACGGAGACATTACTTTGACAGTAAGGCCTAGAACGCACTATGCGATTAGTCGGAATGTGACGTGCCGCTGCGGTAGGCCGCACATCGAGAAATTGATTTACTTCTCTTGTTTCAGGAATGATCGCTAAGCAGAACTTTAAGAATAAGTGCATCAAATATTTTAAGTGATTGTGTAATGTGCTAATGTGAATTGATTGAACTATACAGGAATATAGATTATTAAAAAACTTTGTTTCTTAAATTATTTATTTCCGTTATTTTCTACACATTGATGGTAAAACAAAGGAGATTTATAGTATACTAAACATTTATTACTAATCATAATAAAACAGACACGATCCTGCGTGACTGTATACATAGTCTCTTATTAATCAACAGTTATGAAGGCGAAACCAGCGAAACGATGTCGCTAGACAAATCAATAACTTAATATTTTGTGATTTACCCAAACATTACCCACATTAATAATTCCAGGGAAATCGGTAGAACACATTCTGACCCACAATATAATTCCGGGGATCACACATAGCATATCCTTCAATGAGTTATCCTTATGTTAGTCGCCCTTAACATGAAGCTAGTTACAGATGGGACACCAAAACGCCGCACTGTTATCAAAAAGTCTAGCTACCTAGTTCTCTAAGAATTCCAGAAATAATCTCAATTTACAAGAATCGTTCCATTCCGATTTTTCATCTTACTTACGTTGCTTCTCGTTTTGCTTAGAAAATAAAGCACTATTTCGTCCACTATTACATAAATTCGAATGCAAAGATGTAATCAAGATTCCAGTGAGACTGGAGTTGAGAAAATTCTTCATCTGATAGGGCTGTTTTATGTACTGTTGACAGCGCATAATTATTTTTTTTTGCCTAGTCGCCCTATTGTAACTTTATAAGATTCCACCAGTCTAACCTCAATAATCCTCAAAGTCCTCATCATTCAACTCCATATCGTCAATGCCTGCGTTCTGTGATGCATCATTTGTATCGTTTTCACTATCTTGTACTAACTGTCCCGGTTCTTCGGTCTCTTCCGGATCTTGGGACTGTTCCGGATCTTGGGACTGTCCCGGATCTTCGGTCTCTCCCGGGTCATCTAACTGTTCCGGATCTTCGGTCTCTCCCGGGTCATCTAACTGTTCCGGATCTTCGGACTGTCCCGGATCTTCGGTCTCTCCCGGGTCATCGAACTGTTCCGGATCTTCGATCTCTCCCGGATTTTCGGCCTCTCCCGGATCTTCAAACTGTCCCGTGCCTTCAAATCGTCCAATAGGGTTCAGAGCGTCGTTCGTGAAATCGTCTTCCTCTGGGATATCTGGCGTTGGTTCTGATGACCCTTCTAACCCTAGGAGACGTCTCTCACGCAGTTCCTTGCGCTCCTTGAAAGATAGTTTAGGCCCGGCTAGTTGGAATGGCTTGATTACCAGCGCGGTCTCGGCATCTGGAATAAGGTGGTAACGTAAGGACGATAAAATAACAAAGTACTGTGTAATAGACCCTCGGCGGAAATGATAAGAACCCCCTTATTTCCATGAAAAAAAAGATTCACAAAGCGCAAGTTGCCAGCAGAAGATGCCAGCGATTAACTTGACGGGGCTATTCCCACCTCTCGTTCCCACCGCTGCAACTCCTGTGTAGCCAGGATCTACAGTTTGATCGCCAATAACAACCCAACCAGTGAAGGTCAAGTTTGTTCTGGGGGAAAGTTAAACTGTCATTGGACCCGCAACGAAATACGAAGAACATAGGAGGAGTTCGAAGTTAAACCTCGAATTCCCGTGTCCGATTAACGTGACGTGATTTAATGGCATTCTGTCTCTTTAGGACAAACGTTAATTAGAATCATCATCATCTCAGCCATAGGACGTCCACTGCTGAACATAGGCCTCCATGCTTTCCATGCTGGCCGGTTGGTAGCGGCCTGCGTCCTTGAAAGATAATTAAATTAGAATGGAAGTTTGTATTACCAGGCTCTCCGCGAGTTTACATCGAAAACAAAACACGCACGATGGCCCACCTACAGGATACTATGCGACAAGGCCTCACATACGAGCGAACATTGACTCACGCACGCGTATTCTTGTGTATGATGGAAGAAAATAAAGAAAATGGTGTACTAAATACTGTGCAGTATTTAACTGCCTAAATAATAATAAAAACACAGAATGTACTTTTTTAAGTTGCCTCAAGACACGGAGAGGTAAATAAGTAGTTAATATTATTCATGATAATTCATGCTAAATCATGTATTTCCTCCGCCATTTTCCGCAGTTTGGCACCTCACGTCACATCATTTTACCGAAGTCAGCCCTATAGCTTCGGCGCAGTGCCGATCACTGACGTTTGTCAACAAAATGGTGCTTGACTCTTGAGACAGGCTAAATTACACCATATTGTTAATGACATTGAAAATACATTTTTTTAAATACCTTCGCGAAGTAAAACTTCTGTACGTAGTACTTATTATTATTCTGTGGTATTACTTACTCATAGGCACAGTGCCCATGCCACAAAGCCGGTCGAAGGCAGCAAAGTCCCGACATGTGGCGACGTAAATAGGCGCCCTTTTGACAGACTTCTTGCAGCTGACGGCGCCATTCTTCCGCATGAATTCCTCCACCTCCAGCTTTTTCGGCGGCTTCCCGTTTATGTAAACTCGCACGACGAGGTTCGTGTTGATGCATAGAAGACGTTTCGTAACGTTCAGTTTTAACACCTGCGGAATACGGTCCAATTTCAGTCTGTTGGTAAGTATAACACTGATAGAACTTGCTTCTTTAACACCTGCTGAATACAGTCGAATATCACGAGTCTGTTGGTAAGTAAACTACCCTTAAAACGGGCATTGCAGGCTACTTTTAACCACATTACTTTGAACGTTATTTCAATGACTTAAATGTGTAAAACATACTGGATTTTACTTGCTAGCTAGGTCTGACTAAAAGACACATGAAGACAATTTGCAAGAAGAATTCTAGAATAAGCTTCATCTATGTCCAGCAGTGGACGAAGAATCATCGTCTAATGGTAAATTGGCAACCACTGCCACACTGAATACAATAAGATTTCTTGTAAATCTTCGTCGCCTTAGATTGCAACTACTTCAGTATGTATAAACGTACCTTTCGCGTAATATCCACTCCGATGGTACTGAAGCGATCGCAGAGGGCTTGCTCCTTTTCATTGTCTGCCGTTTTCACTATAGACTTGTACTGAAAAATAATATTATTACTAAATATAACTCAAAAGTGACTGTCTGACATAGTGATCTATCAACGCACAGCCCAAATCACTGGACGGATCGAGCTGAAAATTGGCATGGGGGTAGATGTTATGACGTAGGCATTCGCTAAGAAAGGATTTTACGAAACTCCGCCCCTAAGGGGGTAAAATGGGATCCACGCGTACGAAGTCGCGGGCGGCCGCTAGTTATCATTTAATTAGTACCAGAATTAACAGTTAAATTTACATCATCATATGGGTAAACAAGAGATATTGGGCTAAAAATAATGACTCCTTAAGAGCATTTGACTACTTTTAGCAACTAATTTAATTAGTCTGAACAACTAATAATAATAATAATAAATAAATAAATAATCTTTATTCACAAATATCATTTCCTGTGATGTAATAAACCACAGCTTCTGCACTAGGCTCGCAGGCCTGTGTCGCAGTAGTTGTGTTGAGTGAGCATTACAGATTACATTTTTACATTAAATATACAGCTCCGATTCCTTATCAGGTGACTATTATTGTGGTTTTTTAAAGATTATGAATCATAAATATTGTGATATATGAACAAATTATGTGTGTGTGTGTGTGTGTGTAAGTCTAGATATTAGCACGTCACTACCTTGTTTAATATACCACGCAATCTTGTATACCCATTCTTATAAGATACACCATACAAGAATGCATGGTAAATTCAGTGAACTGCTCCTGAATCGAATGTACCTACTACTACTATTTCTATTTATTTATATTAACCGGCAGACAGTGGTGACTGAGTTTGTTGCGGCGCTTCTTCTCAGCACTTGCCAAATGTTGGTCTCGAAGCGCTGGTAGGGTAAAAAGATTATGAGACATGTAGAGGCTCCTTAAGAGCAAAATGACGATTTGTAAGAACTATTTATTAGTCCAAACAAATAAAGAAATTTTGACTTTGACTTTGACTTTGACTTTTAGTAACTTTATTGTGTTTGTAGGCGAAAAAATGAATCACGCTTTAGTGAGGTCAGAAGGCCTTTGTTTGTTCGAACTGATTACTATTAATAAGCTAATAATTATGGCGGAAGCTTTTGCTCTAATTCATAAGCAAACTTAATAATTAATAAATTTTTTGGCATTATAAAAATTGGTACTTTAAAAGTAGCAATAGTTTTAATACTAGCTGTGGCCACGACTTTGTACGCGTACATCCTTAATCATGTGTACCTGAGTACCTACATTTTTCTTTAGTCACAGGACCAACTTATCAAGACTTCCCTTTTATATGCGATTACCTTCAGTCGAGGGGTCAAAATAACTCTGTAACATGATAGTAATCGAAATCCCACATTTAAATAAAAAAAATATAAGGGAAAAATTATGAAAATAATCACGAATCATTATTAGATTTCTATTTTATTATAAGTATGAAAAGGGATAAATCGCAAAAACACTTCTTGTTTATTATTTTATTATAATTAAGAGTATTTTAACATGTAATTGCAAAAGTATTCCAATAAATTATAGTTATTACAAGTAATTATCATAGGTAATAAACGCTTTTATGAAAATAATGCAGCTGGTAATTACTATTATTTAGCAAACACTTGAGGAAGACAAGCCTTTGTAAAATTGATAATTAATAATAATATCATAAAATTATACTAATGTTGTATGCTGCTAATAGGTACTCTAGAAAAAATAATACACACATAAAATATGCGCAGTTTTTGTTTGTTTTTGTATGTGTATGTAAAATTTCTTTATTTGATCATTTTGGTTTATTTTGGTCACTTCTAGCAAAAACATTAGTGTGCATTCGATATAAAGGTTGACATCGAGTCACCAAAGATTCGATCACCGCTCGATGACGTATTTACCCAAATTGTCTACTTAGCTCCGGCAAAATTATCGCCCTATCGTTAAGGTCGATTTACACGCGCCTTTTGACCGCTCCTCAAGTCTTTGTCTAAGAGTTTCAATTCGTCCAGCCATTGTGTCGGACGAGTGGACGTCGTTAGCCGAGATAAGG